TGTTTATACTGTCTGCTGGATAATTCTGTTATTGCATAAGAGAATTTTGCATTTGTACAAGTGATAAGCAATTGGTACAAGTGTTGCTCTAATTTGCTGTTTAACCAGAGCCAAATGCAGTCTGGGAAAGCGGATGGTGTAATGCCGAGGTCATGAGAAGGATTCTGATGTTGTTCTAGCTTAAAGATGATCTGAAAAACTGTGATGTGTAAACCTGAATTCAGGTTCTGTCTTGCTTTGTGATTTGACATTTGACTTCTTGTGCAAGAGTTGTCTCGGCTTCACGGGGTGGCAGAGGGGCAGGGGAGTGGCTGCTGTGAGCAGCGGTGGCGGAGCTCTGTGAACGTGGCTTGATTAGTTTTCGTTGGGGGACGGTGCAGTTGTCTTTGTGGTGGCCGTTTTGAAATCCTCAAAAGGGAGTCTCCGAGGCCTCGCATTTGAAGGGGTTTTCATCTGGGGAGAGCTGGGAAATTGTTGGAAGTACTAAATGTCAGCTGCCAGTGTCCTAAACAGAAACGCTCTTTTCCGTTAGGTGCAGTATTGTGCTGCAGTCTTGGGGAGTGTTTTCTTCCTGTGCAGGCCTTGTTTGGACACCGAGTCCCTTGGGTTCGGAGCCGTAGCATTCTTCATTTGCTGTGCTCTGTCTGAATATCGCCACGTGGACGCTTTTCTTCTGCCATGGTGTCCTTCTTCATTGATCCTTTAGTCCAGGCCACCAGAAATTGCCCTGAATATGGAGCGTTGATGTTTGCAGTGAGCGTGTCTCGGGGAGGATGCTCTGCTTTACTTCCACAAAGCGGTAGCGGCCCGTCAGGGCTCCGAGGACATCATGAGCTGTCAGCGCTGTATCTACTTGTTGAGTGAAGCAGATCAAGGTAGACACGCACATTCAGCAAGATTTTCCTCTAATAGTTTTTTTTTTTTTTTTTTCATCCTGAGGACCCTGGAGTGATTCAAACACCTGGAGTCTAAATCTTGCCCTTTTTATGTAAACTAATACTTAATGTGAAGTGCTTTCAGACTTGGGGTCATTTACTGTAACATCTATGCATATATTGCTGATGGTTCTTTGTAAGAATTAGAATAGGCAGCATTGTTTTCTGTGGCATGGAGAAGCACTAACAGAAGTGTGTAAATCTTCCCAAGACTGGGAAGAAATAAAATAACCTCTCCAAGGGGCTACTCCTTACTTTCACTCTGCAATAGCCCCACCTGGCAATGCAGCAAGACAGCGTGTTGCTCTTTTTGTTCTTTTCATCTTGCTTGTGGTAAACACTCTCTGTTTCCTCCCGAGCAACTACCGCCCATTCTATGCTGGTGGAGGTCACTCTGTGTATATGGGGGGAACAGAAGGCATCTGGTGTCTTGGTGTGGTGCCAGTGTTCACACTGGCTTCCCAGAGATCCCGTCTTTGTCTTCGTTCCCAGAAGATGCTAACTTTAAAATAGAGAGTACAGACGGACTCTCAGCCCTCCAGCGCTCACTGATGCTCGTGGAAAAAGCCTTCACACAGGTAGTAGTTAAACCTTGCTTACCTTGTTGGTACCTCTTCATATGTTTTAAATGTGACCAGAAAGGTTGTTTTTGAAGATAAGCATTGGAAGATAGCTCTTGAAGGCTTTTTCAGCAAAAAGCTTAACATATTCTCCTTCAGTTTTGAAAAAGGTAATCCAAATCTACACTTAATGTACAGGCCAGATGACTAATTGCTGTGTTCGTGTGTTGCTTACGAGGACGCTGTTTATATCTAGCAGCATTCTGGATACAGAGACACCACTTGGTGCGTGAAGACTGGCGACTTACTGTTTCTTGGTGGATCAGACAGAAAACCAGATCAGATAGAAAAGGTTTGGTAATTGCTGACAACTTTGTGATGTGTGTCAGAACCAGTCTGACCTTAAAACACTGGGGTTTATTTTTATTTTTTAACTGTGTCTGATCTCTCGATGCCTTGGCCGAGCAGGCTTTGGGATTTTAGCTGGAGTAGCACAACATACCTCGTGGCTGTGTGCTTAACGTGAAGGCTCAGCTGCTGTGACTGGAGATCAGGTTTTGCAGTACTTGTTTCCTGGCCTGTAGCAGATGTGAAGTGTGGTTTAACTGCATTATAAAACCACAGGTGACTAGAAAAAGAGGCCACAGGAAATGACTTGCAGGCTGAATTCTGTGCAACGGTAAATGCCTCCTCTCAGCCGAGAGTGGCTTAACTTCTACCGTTTATTTTGTTCCATCTGGATCACACTTATATTTAGGAACGAGGAGAAGATTTGTTCTTAATGAGAGCCTACACTCCCACCCACGCTTCCTGGGGAGAGTAGTGTTCAAACAGTCTTCCAACGGTGCGGTTTTAAGGCTGAGTATTAAAATACACTTGGTATTTCTCCTTCCGTGCGAGGGGCCTGCATCTGCTTCTCTCTGGCACCTTTGCGGGTGCAAAGGTCTGTTCTTCATCAGGGCCGTGGTGCGCTCTCGCTGCAGATCAAACCCCAGTCTTTGTTTTGGTGAGAGCAGCTGAGGAGAGTTTAGGTGTGTCATCACAAAAATCTGCGTGCCTGACGGTCTCCCTTTCTTCTGCTTTAACTGTTGGTGAATTATTTGGCCTCGGAGCTGCATCCTCAGAAGGCGAAAACAGAATCTGCTGGGGAACTCAAGCGCCTTCCTGATGAACGTGTCATTTGGAGGCAAGGTGCTCGGGAATTAATAAAGCGCCATATTTGGTGAACATCTTGGCAGGAAGAGTCAGACTGATACACAAAATATGGCTAAGGGGAAACATATTTACACATCACAGGGTGGTAAATATGGTTAATGGCTGAAATGTGTTTGGAGCCTCATACTTGGGGAAAAAATATCCCCACGCCAGCAAAACAGTAACAAGGCAAGTGATTGTACTCTGATAGCGACTGTAGTAAATGCAGTCCCTGGGGATGTTCTAGCCTAAAATACCTGTGCCATTAACAGAAGAGGGAGAACCAGTATGCCTGTTCCTGTAAACAGACTTTCATGATACGTGAAAACATGATTTTGAAAGAGTAAGTTAAAAAATACGCCCTATAAATGACTGCCTTTTGGCTGTAGTATTTCTTGCAAACTGCTGATGTTCCTGAAGGGCCAGAGGGGAATTTTCTGTATTTGGCACTAAGATACACTGTTAAGAAAAACCTTTGCTCCAGAGAGGGAAATCCCTTCCTGGGGGGCTGCAGGAAGGGAACTTCCCCGTACACACAGATATGCAGGGTTCCTACCGACTCTCCATTTTTCTCTGTATTTCATTACTCTCTGCGGTGCAGGTTTGGAACCCAGAGTGCCTTGGCCTTTGTGCAGCAGCTGAGTGAAAATTTCCAACTTCCCCTCCAGAAGCAAGTGGCCATGCTGGGTGTGGAGCACAGCTTGAGCTGGAGCTCGACCCTTCTGCTTCCCGGGGCAGAAGGGGGGTGCCTGGCCGGGACGGGTGGGTTGGTGGTGTGGGGCAGGGTGTGGGAGCTGCTTCTCATGCCGTCGTTTGGGTGGCTGGGCAGGGAGCAGCCCATGCCCCCCAGCAGGCAGGTTTGGGTGCCTCCTCTCCCAGACCCTGACGCAGGTTCCGCTCTGATGGGGCCGTGTGGTTATGAGCAGCTCAGTTCTGGGCACTTTCTCGGGGTTTTGTCTTGTCAATTCCTAGCTTGGAAAGATGTTCCGACCCTTGGATAACAACGCCCAGAGCTGGAGAAGACCTGCTACCTTGCACGGTCTGGTCACCTGCCCGTGCAAGCATCTTCCTTGCAGCTTCCTTCAATAATCCCCGTATTTCTTGTGCCAGTGGCCTTTTTATAAATTTGGACAGATTCTCGGTTGCAGGCTGAGATTTTCATCTTCACAACAAATGGAAGATACTGCTGTTTGATAGCTTGAAGACTCTGTTCTCTGCTGTTTCTGTGCTGCAGCATTTGAGCTTTGCAGAGGCAGCGTGTTTGGGCTGTTCAATTAACAGATGTAGGTACAGTTCTCCTAACTGCTTCTAGCTAATTTCTGTAATTGCAGCTGTGAATGTGAATTACACGTGAGTTAATTCACTTAATGTGAATTACAGGTACTAGGCTTATAGGAGGAGGCATCATTAATACATTCCTTTGCACAGGGGAATGTTTTCAATATGAGACCTGAGTGCCTGCATAACTTCTCAAGAAACAAATGTTTTGCCCCCTCTGTATTTCAGCAGCTGTGTTTGGGTATGTGTTTTGCGCAGTTTAATATTTTTCTGACAGGGCTACTTTCTAATGTGTGGCAAACAAATCATTTTATTGGTGCAGTCTGGATTTGTTTTGGAGAAGAAGGAAGCATGCTGTCGTGATTTACAGTCTGCGTGCAAATCTCTGCTTGGCCTGTGCAGTTGATTCTGCTTGGGAGGTCTGAGGGGTTTATACAGGGAAGTGTCTTTGCTTAAAAATGACACAACTGTTTCACTGTATTTCAGGGTGAAGGCTGTCGTACTGTCCCGCTCTCTGGACACGTAGGATTTGACAGTTTGCCTGACCAGCTGGTTAATAAGTCAGTTAGTCATGGGTTTTGTTTCAACATCCTGTGTGTGGGTGAGTATATCCATTTTGGGAAGTTCTCTTGCTCAAAAGGGCTTCTCTGCAGCTGGATGTAGCTTGTAGGTGACGGCATTAACAAGGTAACTTTGATTTAAATTTCCCCAACTGTTCTATCTATTTTCAGTAACAAGATTTACTGCTGCCCTGGGAAATCCCTGCTGGGGATATGCAGTATGGCTTTCTACCAAACAGTGAACCATAGAAATAAAATGTCTAAAGTTCCAGGCTTTTATTATCTTTATTTTCCTGGTATGTTTGAATTTCAAGCTGTTAAAAGAAAATAAGTACTCATGCCAGAGAACTTTGTTCTGAGGTCTTGTTTGGTTAGGTATTGAGTTATTAATATAATTATTTTAACAGAATACCATGTTCCTCTTAAATCACTAAAATCTATTTTTCTTCTCCTCCCCTCTGTGCATACTTGAACTAAAATAGCGTCTGGCCAAGCCATGGCTGGTCAGACGATTATCCAAGCTGCCATGTGGTATGGATCTCAGCTGGGGCCTGGCACTGTAGCAGGACTTGGTGTCTGTCCCTGCAGCGTTTGCCTGTCTCACAGGTCTTCCCCAGGGTTAGGACCCCAAATGGTCCCTGCTCAGAGGCACTCCTAGGTAGCAGAAGTAAAATCTTGTATGGCTTTGGTACAGTAATTCAGCCAGGTGGATGAGGAAATTAATAATAGGGAATTAGTAATTGTCTGAGAGGACAGTTAGTTTGGTTTGCTGATGCCAGTGCCCTGCCTCTGGGAGCAGGAGGTTATTTGTGTGGCCGTGGTGCTCAGAGGAAGCCCTGTCCCCACATGCTCCCAGCAGTGCCTGGGTGACAGGGGAGCGCTGCAGCTGGAGGTGCTTCCTGGGGACTTAGCTGGTGGCTCTGCACCCGCACGGAGGCTGTCTGTCCCTTCCCGCGAGAGATCCAGCTCATGGTATGGACCCGCTGTTTGCCCAGGACAGGGTTAAGTCTGAGATGTGAGGAGAGGGGAGCAGACCCTGTTAAATGGAGCCGAGAAGAAAACTTTCCCTGACAATGGCA